ATGAAATGCAAGGCCCAGCTTCACTATTCTTTGTGTAAAGTTCTTGACAGTGAGTCAGGATTACCATCTTTGTGCCTGACAATCTTTGTTATTATTCTTTTTATTACCTCTATATAATTTTAAATTTTACTTTAACCAAGTATGATTTAGGGTAGGTATTTAAAATATGTTTCATACCTATACAATTCACTGGTTTGGGTGTACCATAATCTATAAATTATGTTTATGATCATTATTTTAAAAAACAAGTGACAAACATGCTCTTAAATTTGCCCATTAAAGTTAGAACCATTCAATATATAGGGCATATTATTGAAAACATTCACTCTAGCATGAATCTTTTTTCCTCTTTTACAAGGATCAGCTTGGATTTTTGTCCTAAGAGTGCTGCCACATGGTTGTCTTTGCAGTTTTGTAGTTGGTATGTTTGGTCTGATATTGAATTGTCTTTTTAGCCACTGGCTGGATGTTTTACAGTAGTAATTGTCAAGTGCATCATGCGATGTGACCAACCTATTTGGCTTGTGAGAATATTTACATTCTTTCCCTCCCTCCTTCCTTTTCCTTCTCTTAATCCATTTCACTTCCATTATGTATTTTTTTTTACTTTGCAAGAAGAACTATTTGGTGTTTCAGAATCTTAATTTTCTTTATTTTTAAAGAAGTCAACCAGATTAGAGATCTCTCAGGTTTTCTCCAATTCTAAGTTCTGCTAAATGCCCAATGCGAAATGAGCAATGTGTTTTCTATGGATGGACTGAATGTCAATAACCTATTTTCAGTATGCCTAATATTAATTATTGGTATTGATACTCATATTTGGTGATCTGTGGTAAATAAGTTAATACACATTATTATGAAGCATATAACTATTAAATGGAAAATATTTGTGTTTGGTTTTTAGTTTTAGTCATTCCTGAGAAGTTATGAGTTTTTCCCAGTTAAGAGTTTTTAAGTCCTTTAGGAAGAGAAAATCAACTTAATATTATCATAGATTAAAAATAATTAGTAAGCTAGAATTTTACTTTAATTTCCAAAGCCATAGTCAATGTTCAATTCATATTTATTTAAAAATGGGCAAAAATACCAATGAGAAATGCTTTAAATCTTTCCTTGTTATGATTTAATATTATAATAATCAGGAATTATATAAAGCTTTTTCTTAAGGTAGGTATAATTATTAAGTGCTGAAATGTTAATGGACTCTACTTGATTAACTGCTTTTATTCCTACAAGAGCAATAATTTTTTTTTATCCCTGGTTTACTTGATCACTGAAGCTTGTAAAATATTCAGTGAACTTATTGTTCTGCTTTGAAACTATAGAAAAAAAATTCAAATGCGTATTTTCCTTAATATTCAGTTGGTTGTGCAGTGACCCAGGATTTTGTTATCAGAATAAATAGGAAAATATTTCTTTGCTATATATGTGCATATACTTATATTTATCATCTACAAATATTTATTTACTTTAGGCCAATAGCCAAATACTATGTCTATGCTTTGGATGTGTGTGCTATAATTCTACGCTATCCTCCTTTCCTTTTTTTTTTTGTCGGTCGTGGGGCCTGAACTCTGGGCCTGGGCACTGTCCCTCAGCTCTTCAGCTCAAGGCTAGTGCTCTTCTACTTGAGCTATAGTGCCACTTCCGGCTTTTTCTGCTTATGTGGTGCTGAAGAATGGAACCCAGGGCCTCATGCATTCAAGGCAAGCACTCTCCCACTGAGCCACATTCCCAGCCCCTAATTTCCTTTTAAACATAAAGAAACTAAGACTCTGAGATGAAGTGATATTTTTTATGGGAGCGTAAGGTAGAGTCTATTCTTTAGAAATGTCTCTACTTCTTTCTCGTTCACTCAGAGAGTAATCTATCTATCTATCTATCTATCTATCTATCTATCTATCTATCTATCTATCTATCTATCTCTCTCTCTATCTATCTACCTACCTACTTACCTACCTACCTATCTGCCTATCTAACTTGAAAATCCACAATCTTAAGATGTACATTTTGATTATTTTCTTCATTTTGTGAAAAATTAAACAATTAATGACACTTTATATCAGATCTGTCTCAAAATTACTTTGTAATGTACTAGGTCTTGGAAAGCCTCATTACAACCTTAGGAAAAGTTTTTTCTATTATCATTCCTATGGTGAGATAGTTTACATTGAGTCACTAAATCATTATGTAAATTTCTCTAAATATTAAGTAGATTTCATAAAATCAATTTCCTTTCTACATATACCTAATACATAGAAGGCCTAAAATTCTACTCTCAATCTGACCGTTGAAAAATCCATGACAATAGCCACTGTGTTCTAAATATAGGATGCTGAGGTTACAGTCAGATATTTGTTGTACTAAATAGCTTTGGCCAAAAATATTTACATCATAGCCATAGGAAATAGTGACTTTCCTCTACATTGAACAGTTTGGACGAAAATGAAACTTACAAGGTTGACAAATTTAGGAGAGTGCTAAGGATTGTGGGTTTGCAAGTTAATTTGACAGATAGATAGATAGATAGATAGATAGATGATAGATAGATAAGTGAATGAGTCAATTGATAGATAAAACCTTGCTTCTAAATTAACCAGTCAGGATAAAGAGGCCAAAATAGTTAAGATGCTATAATGGCAGCTTTAGATTATTAAATAACTTTCACAGATTCCCTTCTGGCACAGATCTATTTACTTGCTGAACCATGATGATGAACCCTTCATCTTGTAAGAGATGTCAAGAGTGTAAGCCTTGTTTCAGTATGGTTTTTTTTTGTGTGAAAATACCATACAGGGGGGTTACAATTACAAGGACAAGATAATGAGTATGTTTCTTATCAAGCACTGTAGCCTCCTCCTTTGTTTCCCCTTCCTATCCATTCCCCTCTCACCGCCCCCAAAGTTGTAAAGTTCAATTTTCAACATAACGACTTGTACATCTCATTGTTGCAGTGGGTCCACCTGTATCTCTATTTAAACGATTTGTTTTTTCTCTTCCCTTCCACAAATTATACCAACATCAAATACAGTAAAAGCAGGGGTTACATCATGGGGGACAGACATACAAAGCAGCAAAGAAATCATCTTATAAATATGTTAGAAACAATCACGTGAAAGGAAAAACATTTGAATACTTATCTTGGGGTTCATTTCCTTAACATCAACTTATCTGACCTTTTCTGCTAGTCTCAGACATATACTAGTTATTGAAAATAAGGGAAACCATGGGGCCTATGTTTCTTTGGGCTTGGCTTACTTCACTTAATATAATTTTTTCCAAGTCTTTCCATTTCCTAACAAATGGGGCAATGCCATTCTTTCTGATGGAGGCATAGAATTCCATTGTGTATATATACCACATTTTCTTGATCCATTCATCTACTGAAGGGCATCTGGATTGGTTCCATATCTTAGCTATGGTAAATAATGCTGCAATAAACATAGTTGTGCTGGTAGCTTTTGTACGGTCTTGTTTGTGTTCATTTGGGTAAATGCCCAAAAGTGGGATTGCTGGGTCATAGGGGAGCTCTATGTGGAGTCTTTTGAGGAACCTCCATTCAGAATGGTTTTTTTTAAGCAGTTTTTTTATTGTGATTAAGTGATTACACAGATTTCACAAATTTCACAGTATTATGGGATAGTGATACTTAATTAAAGTCACAAACATATTCTAACCTTCATGGGGCAAATTGTCTTTATCATGGTCTGTAAGGTTTATGAGTTCCATGAGCTTTGACAATACAGTTATTTCTTCCACATCAGGTGATATGTACATTTCTTTCCTTTTGCTTAGTGTCAGCAAATTTCAATATGGTTTTGAAGGACTGTCAGCAGCTGGTTTGCTCCCAGATAGGTGAAACCTTATTTAGTTTTATGAGGTACCTACCTTCTGGTAAAGGGTAAAGAGTGAGAGATAGGAAGTTTTTAAACAAGTACAGGTTAAGGGAATATCAAAGCATAATCTGCACTACACAAGCTACATTTAACAGTCTCCATTCTTCATAAAATTGCAATATGGCATTGTAACAAAACTTTTGAGAAAAATCGTATATCTGGAAGAGGCCCCTAGACCTTCTGTTTTCCTGGGATCTTACATAATGGTCTTAAAGTTTGGAAGAGTGCTGGGAATGTAATGCTATTTTTTTTTACATTTGAGTTTATGTTTTTTAGTAGATGAGATTCTAAAACATATGTCTATGGAAACAAATTCTGTACCAATGGAAGGCTGTTTTATTTCTGTTTTTCTTAGGTTGCTACATACACAGTAAGCTGAGAAAGAAGGTAGGTTCTTAGAGATCATCTCACAGTTAGAGGAGAGCCACTTTTTAAGAACATGCTGGCTTTTTATCCAGGAAAGAAGTCCACTATTTGCTTTTTGATCCCTTGAATGTACATGAGTGCTTTGAGTGCTTTGACTACATTATTTCTTCCCAAACCTCAGTGTTTCTTCTAGAGGAAGCAGCACTTCTAGGTGAAACTTGCTGAGCAGTGAGTTTACAGTTCAGCTTTGAGCTTCACTTAGTTTGGCACAGAGCAGATAGCCCAATTCATTACTGATTGTACTTTCATCAAGAACTGAAAGATGGTCATAGTGCTGGGAATGGAGGGATGGTAGTCTCTACCTTTTGGTGACCATATTTCACAATATTACAAGGTGACTAAGAATAAAAACTAGAAAGAATGAAAGACACATGAGAATGATACAAGTATCATTAAAGTCATATTAAGAGTAAGTTTGATGTCAAAGGTGGTCCAACCAGTCTAGATTTTTGAAGCATTCTTTAACATAATGATCCACTAAATAAGTCATGAGTTTAAAGAAATCTTGTTTTGCAAAAAGAAATTATTGTAAATCCTGGTTACTCTAATTGTGCATAAAAGTAGGTATCATTTAATACTAAGTGGTATTTAAAGTAATAATGTCATTTTCATTTGTATAACAAGATGTCATATTTAAATTAAAAGAAAGAAGCCATTTTTAACTATATATACTCTTACCTGAAAATTTAAATGAGGAAGCATCTATAATTAGTGACCCAGTTTGTCCTGTTAGCTTTTGACGTAAAATAGTTTCAATCTTGTCCCAAAATTTTGCTGCATTATTTTTACAACACGACTTAAACTTCAGCACAACATGAATCACCGATTTCCCTTTGGCTCGACTGCAAAATAGAAACAAATAAAATTTTTATAACTGAGCCTGTATCATTCTTACTTGGAGAGATAGGACATTTTTAAACTAGCGGAGGGTAAGACAGTAAAGTAGTATACTAATTTATTGTTAATTATCACAAAGGAGTAGAAATACACTTATAGTGGAATAATGTGAAGAAAGTATGATTTAGATTCAGGGGAATGTTTAGGTTTTAATCCACTGTTTGGCATCATATTGATATTCTCTGTACATGTTTCCTGATCATCTCTAAACTACCGATTTAATAATCTTACTTTACTTAGTTATTATAAAATCATTATAGATTAAATGTATCTTGTAGATGTGAATATAAAAATATTTTGAAAATCACAATTTGCTTAACAAAAATTGTTTATGACTCCAGTATGGACTCTGTGAGGCAGACTAATAGAAGACAGCAAAAATGAAAGAAAAATGTAAAAAGAGGGAATTATTTATTATCTCATTTCTTTTCTCTAAAATTGATGCATAATTTAAAATAGTGAGCCAGATGTTTCTCACTTGCTGAAAATCAGGACAAGAGCAGCAATGTCAGATTAGACTTACTTTCATTGTCATTCTGTCTTAAAGATGCAAATGTATGAGCCATAAGTTTTACAAGGAAGTAACTTGATATAATATCTATTCTGTTCTCTCTTGATATAATATCTCTCTGTCTCTCTGTCTCTCTCTCCCCTCTCTCTTGGTCATGCAAGGGGCCTGCACTCTGGGCCTGAGCGCTGTCCCTCAGCTCTTCAGCTCAAAGCTAGCATTCTACCACTTGAGCCACAACACCACTTCCAGCTTTTTCTGCTTATGTGGTGCTGAAGAATCGAACCCAGGGCCTCATGTATGCAGGGCAAGCACTCCACCATTGAACCACCTTCCCCACTCCTGTACTACTCTATTTCTTTCAAAAAAATGTTTATTCACACGATACAAGGAGAATTCTTTCATATACATGCATATAAAGTTCTTTCATATATGCATATAATATACTTCAACCATATTCACTATCATTCATTCTCTCTAATAGCCCCTCATTTCCTCCAATATATCCTGTTTTAGTTTCTGGGGATGCATTTGATTTCATACACAGAGGCTTCTCTGTTGCAATTCTCTTGTCCATATCCCTCACTTCCTTCTTCTAGGGATGTCTCCACATTTGTACCTCTGAAAGTCAACAACCCAGAACTCTGTGTAGCCTACTGAAAACAACCACTTCCAAACCTTCAAAGTGCTCATGAACAGAAACAGAGGCCATAGCTAAGATCTAGAATGTTCTCAGTGATTGTAACTCTTTATTATTTCTATTATTTTCTAGGATAACTTAAAACATATTAATTTCTATGTCACCTGTTAAACTGTGTATATATTAGATGCCCTCCTTTGGGGGCTATAAATGTATACTACACTTTTATTTCCCTTGAATAGTAATTAGTGATTTTAGTAATTATATGGCTGTTTATTCAGTATTCTTATCCTTTTATGTTTTCCCCAGGTACAGTAATCTTTTCTAGTATGATCTGTAGAAACAATCCTTTGTTTCTTATGGAACTGATGAGGACATATTTTTATTACTCTGTTGGAAATATTTTGTCAAATCAGAAATGTCACTCTGAACTTGTCTCCTGGGTCAAACACAATTTGAAACCAAACTAAATATAGCCATATGAATTCTTATTCTGTTATCATAGGATTGTAGGATCCTTTATTACTGAAAATGTATACTAAAAGCTATTTTACTTTTACCTTTTCTTGATTCACAAAATAATCAGTAGCTTTATATGACAAATATGTATAATTCTTTGCTATAGGCAGTTTACTTTCCATTCCTGAACTTCTGATTCATTTGTTCATTTAACAAATGCATATTAATTTATGCAATATAGTTGAGTTCTACATGCCAAGCTATTTCACTATTTAAGAACTTATTATTTTACTTTTTTTGTTTGTTTGTTTTGCTGGTCCTAAGGTTTGACCTCAGGGCCTGGGCACTGTTTGTGAGTTTTTGTGCTCAAGGCTAGTTGCTACCACTTTGAGCCACAGCACTATTCCTAGCTTTTTGGTAGTTAATTGGAAATAAGAATCTCATGGGCTTTGCTGCCTAGGCTGGCTTTGATCTGTGACCCTCAGATCTCAGTCTTCTGAGTAGTTAAGATTACACACATGAGCCATTGACACCCAACCCCTGAGTGCTCGGGTACACACACACACACACACACACACACACACACACACATTCTAGGAGTAAAGACAGCTTCAGGGAACATCTTTTTGAAGTAGGACAATACTGACAAGGAAGTCATGCTGAGATCTAGAGAAGCACTTTGAAATGGAGCACTTGGAAAAGGAGCAAGTGTAATGGCCTGTTATGGTTCCTCTGGCTGTGCTACTTTTTCAGTGATCTTCTTGGTTGCAGGCCCTCAGCTTTCTACTTCAAAAAGTGTGCAACCATTTCTTTATCCCTTTGCAGTGTGTGTTGATGTTCTAAAAACAGTTTGCTCTTCCAATCTAGGAAGTGTCTTTGTCAGGGTCTTGAAATCCATCTCTTTGAAAAGTAACCATCAAGGAGATGGCTTTCTTACCATGGAGATGACCTTTCTACCTACATATTTGTCAAATGTGTGTACAAGCCCAAAATACCACTGTAAGATAGATTTTGCTTATTGATTACTAATCTGTCAGTACTGAGCCATTCTGTCCAAAACTCCCTTGCTGTTTTAGAAGGTTTATTTACTTTTGTTTTTTTTAAATTAACTAATTTTATTTTCCTTAAGCAACAGTACAAAGAGATTTCAATTCATCATGTCAATTTATGAGTTCAATGCATCTTAATCAATGTCACCCCTTTCATCACCCCTTCTTCTCCATCTGTCCAAACCCTACCCACTTCCATCCATGAACATTGAATATTATTATTCTAGGCAGATATTTAACTCTCCTTTTATCTGTCCCTCAAAGTTTTATGTTTAAATGATACTCTAGTTTCAGATTCGCTTTTTGACTTTGTGTCTTCAAATAAAGTCCAAATTCCTTTAGCTATCTCATGAGCACAGGCATCTGCAATTCTTGGTTGTGGTTTCATAATTTTTTTTAACAGAACCTAAATATTTTCTTCACACTTGAAATGCTGGGAGTTTTATTACTCGTAATTCATTCTTAATTCTTCTTCTTTTTTTTTTTTGTCGGTGGTGGGGCTTGAACTCTGGCCTGGAGAGCTGTCCCTCAGCTCTTCAGCTCACTGCTAGTGCTCTACCATTTGAGCTACAGCACCACTTCCACATTCTTAATTCTTGAATTGTAAGCAAGTAAAAGCATTCTATTGAGTGTGAGATCTAGAGGTAAAGGGCCAATCTATGTCTCAGAACATACCTGACTTGAACAACATGAGATTTGACATAGTATCTTCTCAGGCTAGATTCATGAAATGTCTCATTTATCTGTTAAAAACAAGGAAGGGGAAAAGAAGAGTATAAATTCACAAAGCTCTTAAATGTCAGAGATGAATAAAGATTCTAAAATGTGTATCATGGAAAAAGAAGGGATATTAACAGATTTTCTTTCTAAGTTCTCATTTTGAAACTTCAAATATATATATATATATATATACAAGCAAATAAGAGAATAACAATGATAATAATTATTTACTAATATAACAATAACAATACAATATTTGTTCACTAATATAACAATAATAATAAAACAATAATTATTCACTTATTTCATAAAACATGGTCAGGTATTTCTAGATTGTAGGGAACAACATGATAAGGTAGAATATTTCATTTATATTATAAATTTGGTAGTATGTTTGAACACAAGTTTTATATTTTCTAGGCAGGTACTTTATCATGTGCATAATAATCCTACCCTTTTAGCTTTAGATATTTTTCAGACTGTGTCTGTTTGTGTGTGTGTGTGTGTGTGTGTGTTTGCGCATGTGAGTTATGTGCATATGCTGCTGCAGAGTTTATAATCCCTGAACAGCAATCTATTGTTTTTTTCTGATTTTGCAACAATGAGATGTGCAAATTGTTATATCGAAAAATGAACTTTACAACTTTGGCCGGTGTGTGTGTGTGGGGGTGGGGTGAGATGGGAAGGGATAGGAAGGGGAAACAAAGGAGGAGGCAACAATGCTCGATAAGAAATGTACTCATTATCTTGCCCATGTAATTGTAACCCCTCTATATGCTATTTTCACAATTAAAAAAAAAGATGGTAGTCCACAAAGCTCTTAAATGTCAGAGATGAATAAAGATTCTAAAATGTGTGTCATGGAAAAAGAAGGGATATTGATAGAATTTCTTTCTAAGTTCTCATTTCGAAACTTCAACTATATATATATAAAAGCAAATAAGAGAATAACAATCATAAATAATTGTTCACTAATATAATAATAATAAAACATAATCATTCACTAATTTCATAAAACATGGTCAGCTATTTCTAGATTGTGGGGAACAACATGATAAGGTAGAATATTTCGTGTATATAAATTTGGCAGTATGTTTAAATGCAAGGCTTATATTTTCTAGGCATAGTAATAATACATTCATAATAATCATACCCTTTTAGTGTGTGTGTGTGTGTGTGTGTTCACACACGCATAAGTTATGTGCATGTGCTGCTGCAGACCTTATAATTCCTGAACAGCAATCTATTTTTTTCTTCTGCTTTTTAAAAGAGATGGTAATCTTTTAAAGAGTTATGTAATAATCTCCTTCCCTCATACTTGCTAATTTCCTTTTCTCTAGTTGAATGGATGATTTCTTACAACAGTACCTTAATTTTTCACTAGACTATAAATTTCACTTTCCACATTTTTTACTTGGGCAAGGTGACTTGTTGGAATTGGCAAAGGTTTAATTTATATTTTCCCTTCTGCTCTAAAGCAATTGGAATTGTATTTTATACATATCTCATGAAATGAAACTATGGACAAAATGGGGTCAGACTTTTTTTTGTAGATTCAATGAAGGAAAGAAGCATAAATATGCAGATACAGATAATAAGCATAATAGTTTCAGATAGTGTTGAGTAATATGAAGAATGTAAAATTACGAGATGGAGTGACTCAGGGAAATATTTAATCAAATAAGACCTCTTTGAAGAACTGACTGTGAGTGAGACCTGATTGGTGAGAAATCAACCATTAAGAGTAGAAATGTACAGCTTTCTACGTAGAGGATCAGCAGGTCCTAGCTAACAATAAGACTGGTTATTTGGGGCCTACAATCAGGGTAACTGTGTCTCAAGTAAGCAAGGGAGAAAGCATAGGAATTGAACTTGCTCAGGAAGGTAGAGGTGAATTTCCAGAGGGCCTCGTTGGTTGTGTGAGGAGTTTGGATGTTATTTTTAAGTGCAGTAAATGCAGACACCTTGAAATGATCATAACTAAACGGAATATTTCTTTGGTTGCTAATTATAATATATCTGCTTCTCTGGGAATAAATGTAATTGAGATGAATGAGAATCAAAAAAGAGAGAGATTATACAGAACTCATTTCCTATAGGTCAGCTAAGAACCCAGAGAACAATCTTAGAGCCTCTTGCAAAGAAGGCAGCATAGGTCACTGGAAGAACTCAGCTCACTCATGTTGGTGGACACCCTGAAATAAAATCAGCATTGGAGTTTTTGAATGACACACACTTATCATATTTCTCAAAAAATGTAATAATATCTGTTGCTGATAATTATGAAGAAGGGATACTTTACATTAATGGTATAAATGTAAGTTATTTCAAACTTGTATAAAACAAAAGTGGGGATGACAGATGCATCTACTACTCCTGACAGAGTGTGATTCTGTTGACTGAGTTATGTGTTATAGTGCTATTGCTGATAATGGAAGAATCTGTTCAAGGCATCATCAAGACTCTGCTGCGTTTTTAACCTGGTAAACTTTAACTTGAATCATAGTGTTCAGCAATATGATTTACAATCTTTACTCAAGTCTTAGGGTCTGTAACATGATCTTTATTTTGGCCTCTGTTCTCTCTCAGACCAGCTATTCTTCAAAAGCCTTCATGTGTCAGGAACAGAAACAAGATGGTCTTATTCACGTATCTTGGTGGCATATGTATATTCATTATGTGACATATTAATTTATTTGAAATACTAAGCATTTCATGTACCAGATTTCTTGGGTGTTCTTCAAATGTGTCCCTTTATACCTTCTTTTTCCTGTACATGTTTTCTAATTGACTAACTACCTTTATCTAGACCTAAGGTAATAATTAGAAATGGTTTCCAACAGTTATAGCACCTAAAGAAGCCTAGTATTTAAAGGACAATGTACAGAGAAAAATTTAACTTACCAAAGCTACTATCTTTCTATTTAAGCCCATATATTCTTGTGAATATGGCTTCGCAAATTTTTCATCATAGTTGATGTTGTTCACCTTAAAGCTGATGTGATAGTAGAAAGGCACCTTTCCTGAGAAAGCAAGAAAAAATATTTGTCACATGGCACATTCTGATTTTTCCAAGGAAATCATTGGATCAGCATATGCTTGTGAAATTTCATATTACTTGACACTTAAATGGTTGAAATTTCCTGGACAAAGGAATGCTAAAGTATAACCTTACTCAAAAATTAATTCAATAATTTCAATGTAATGCTTTAATTTTTCAAGTTTGGGTAATTTGGAGACCAATGTGTTATGAGGAAAAGTATTCACATTAAAATACAGTAATCATTTTAGTCTTTGTGGTCACTTCAAATTACATTTTAGAAAAAAAATCAGTAAAGTCATAAGGTTTATTCTTCACAAAATACCCAGGAAACCAAAATGAATAAATGAAAGAGAAAAAAGAAATATGATATGCTAAGGACTACACAGAATAAATGAAGGCTATGATTTTAGAAAAGTAAAGCAAAGGAAATGGAGTGGGGTCTAGGCTGAACTGTGTAAATAATCTAATAGAAAATGAAATTCTTTCTTACTAACTTTCCAGGTCCCTTTGTATCCCTCTACATGACAGACTAACAGCAGAAGGTGGAGGAGAGGGGTGAAAAGGAGGTTGAGGGAGAGAATAAGAGCAAGAGCCAGAGCAAGATTGAGAATGGAGAGGAAGGGAGGAGAGAGGAAGAGAAGAAAGAGGAGGAGAAAGAATAACTAGAAAGAGAAAGAAGAAAAATGGATAGGGAAAGAAGTAATCTTCCTATCACTGGCATATTAGTATCATTATTATCATTGTTATTATTTTTTTTTGTTGGTCATGGGGCTTGAACTCTGGGCCTGGGCGCTGTCCCTGAGCTCTTCAGCTCAAGGCAAGTTTTCTACCACTTAAGCCATAGCACCACTTCCTCATTATTATTATTGTAATTATGATTGGTTAATTTAGTATAGTCTTCCATGTGCTTTCACAAATAAAGAAATGAAAAGTAAAATAAGACAATCTGTTTGGATTAAATCAACAAAGATGAAAAAAATTAAAAAAAAATGAAAATCCAGAAGCTCTTACAGTTGGCCAGTGTTAATGCTAATTACAACATATTTTTGGAAGAAAATTTGGTGATGATATAAAAAGTCTGAAATATATTCTCATCTTTTCATTTAATGATTTCCTCTTTTAGAATTTATTCCTAGTATAATGTGTCCAGACAAATCTACGTTTAAAAATGAAGTCTGTAAAGAAATGTTAAGAAATTAGAAACTGGAGCTGGCAAGGTGGCCCAGTAGTTGAGTGCTTGCCTTGCATGCATGAGGCCTTGGGTTTGATTCTTCAACCACATAAGCAGAAAAAGCTGGAAGTGGTGCTGTGGTTCAAGTGGTAGAACTCTAGCCTTGAGTTAAAGAGCTCAGGGATAGCACCCAAGCCCAGATTTCAGGCCCCACGACCAACCAAGAAAAAAAAAAGAAATTAGAAACTATATATTGAACTGGAAAATCAACAAAATAGCTTACTTATTTGTTGTTTTTTTGGGGGGGTCCGGTTGTGGGGCCTGAACTCTGGGCCTGGGCGCTGTCCCTCAGCTCTTCAGCTCAAGGCTAGCGCTCTACCACTTGAG